ATCGAATGCAACTGAAATATGCGAAAGTCGGTTCACCGATTTGTAGTCTTTGTAGTTTAGAACCAGTAGATGTAATTTTTAAAAATAATAGACAAGAATTGACAGGGTGCTCGAGATCATAATATAAGAAACGTATGGTGATTCTGTAGAGTGTAGAAATAAATTGCAAAAAGAATAATAGCATTTTTACGTACATATAATAATTGGCCGATTAGATGCGAATGATCTATCGATAAAAGATAATTCTAAAAATAAGCAAAAAGTATAGAACATATCTAATTAGTTTTCGAGAAAAATTGAATTTTATTCTACATTTATTTTCGCATGTATAATTGATAAATATAATTTATCAATAAAGTATATTCAATAAAGAATTTTATATTTGAAAAATTTTCATCTAATCATTATTACTTGAAAACGAAAGAAATTAATCTTTTTCCTTTGTACATCATACGTCGTTTTAATCGTACAAAGAATCTGAAATCATTCGTCACGTTTCTCTAAATGGTACCACTATCCCAATTTATTCAATCAAAAATTATACTTCACAGAAGTTTTTTTCATAGACAGACACGTGTGAATCCTCCCTAAAGATTTCGATACACCATGGAAATTTCGCCTTTCGAATCGACTTGAATTCGCGATATCGAAAGCCACGTGCCGAAGCGAAGCGAGATAAAAATTTCTTGGAATAAGGTGGGAGAATGGTCGTGAGCGGTCGCGGAATTCGAAAATATCGCGGGTGCTTGGTTCGAGGAACGAAAAGAAAGCGAAAGAAAATGCCCTCGGCTATCCTGCCGCGCACCAGGCATCTTTGGCTTCCTCGCCTTCTTTTTATTTACCTCAACGCGACCCTGGCACAAGTTCAATTCGTTCCGGCCAATTGGACTCGGGGCTGTGTGAAAGAGACGCCGCTTTCCGTGGACCAATCGACTATTTTCTCGAGAGGAATGCATCGGCTCGCTCGCGGCAGAAGTTCATAAAGAAATTTGCATTTCCAACGGTAGGATTCTTGCTTGCGAGAACTTTGCATTCGGTTGATATTATTGGTTCTTCCTCTTTTGTATTTATTGTATTTTCTCGGCTCGTTTTATCAGTGAGATTTTTAATTTAAGTTTCTCGTTGAGTGATGTGGAAAAAGTTTTTTAATATTTCCCGGTAATTGTGAGTAGTATTTAATGGAAAAATTTATCGACACTGGGACAATTAATCTGTAATATTCTCCTCCTAGATACATTAAATGTTAAGATAAGTATTAATTGAGTGTGTTTTAATTATACTTCGTATTCTAATCCTATTTTTTTTATCGTGCCATTTTAATTTGCCTGAGAATTATTGATTGCGAGTTAGAAGTTTAACAATCCTATCCAGATATTTGGGATAATTAATAATCAAAGATAGGTAATAATAAATCATTTCCTGTAAACTACGACTATATCTATAATTGAAGCAGTTAAGCAAGAATAATTCATCATTTATCACTTAATATTATAGAATGCGAAATTTCGACGGATTATAATTATCTATTTCTATATTAATTATGAGCCATTATTAACATTATTTAAATTCTACTAATAGAACAATAAAATTTCTCGAAAGAAATAAATTCAAGTTCATTTCTCAACAAATAATAAAAATAATAATTTCTTCACATTTGAATATCTTTCTATCTTTACATATCTATACATATATACGAGAATGTAGCCAATATTCATAATAATATTCATCAGAAAATTGACTTATTTTGAAAGATAATTGACTTTTGCAAATCGAAATTCGCATTATCGATCGTGAACTTTATCAGATTCGTTCGAATCGAACTCGGCATCCGTCGGGAGCACAAGCATGAAATAATTCATTTCTGGAATTGAGTGTCACTCGATCACCGCTATCTGACAGAAAACACATTAGACGAGGATCGAATAGGCTCTAGAATTTGTGATGCGTCGAAATATTTCTCGTTAATTCCTCAATCTATTCCACGGCTGTGCATAAATTCTTGTCCAACCCCGAGGGTAATTTGCATACATTTTGATTTGAAAAAAAAAAAAATCAATCCCATTTTTATATCACGAATAATGCACAACGGAAATGATTTTTATCGTCGTATAAATCTAACCGTCTCGTTCATCGTAACACACCAAATCGGTACAGTAACTCGCAAAAGTATTCGAAGAATATTTTACAGGGAAATTCATTTAACTGAGAATTCTAGTTTTCATCGTATAATTAGAATACAATCGATTATACAAAATATAGATAATAAAATGTGTTTGATGAAACGAAATCCTCGAATTTTCAGAATTTTTTCACGTTAAATAATTATTTATAGTTTTTTTTTTTAATGAAGAAAATATTTTTACAATTTTTTATTTTTAAAGTTTTGCTTTGTATCATTGTGTCATTGCAAAGTTACATTTACAAGAAAAATAAAAAAAGAATCCATTTCATCTTTTCAACAAAATTTCCATCGTATCTATTTCCATCGTTAATATTTTTTATTTACGGTTGTATACAATACTTTCGTAAATCACTGTACCTATAATATATTCGCGATAGAATAAAGCAAGCGAAACGATGCGATCATCGCTTTTTCGCGATAATAAAACGTCGTAATTCAACATTCGAAAAACAATGTGTCTCGTTTCTTTGTACGTAAACGATGTTTTCAATGGAGAAGAGTCTATTGGATGGAGAGAATTTATTATCCCTATTATTATTTGGCGATTGATGATGGATTCTTAATGCCCCTTTACTGAGAAGATGCGCGAACCACTTCGATATAGTTAGCCTTCAGTATTCGGAAATAGAAAAGACATACACAGGTATTTATAAACGCCCAATATTTGCAATCATAAAGCTTCCATCGTGATACTGTTTAGATGGGAGCCAGCTTTTCGATGATTGTGCAGCACTGAAATTTTTTTATACGTATTATATCCCTATTATATCTCTGTTCAAAAGATTCGGTTCGTTTCATCATATTTGCTCGAAAATTGGAATTTGTTTTAATAATAACTTTTAACTTTGCATCTATTGAACAAATGTAAAACATTAAAATTTACGATTTATATTAAAGTTGTTATTAGAAACAAAATATTTATTGCATACCAACCAAGTATATACGTATGTTAAAAATTATAATGATAAAAATAAATTGTTTTCAAATTATTATCCTTACGTATTTCATGAATAAATATAAATTGAAATTACATCAAAGTAAATACTACAAAATTAGAACCGTTGGACATCTGAAATTTCCAATTTATTCATACGTTCATTGATGTATTAACTACTAGCAATTTTCAATCTCCCGTGATTAATTTATTCGTTCAAATTATAATACTCGTTTTAACGAATATTATCATAATAAATTTATAGTTAGATAATTTATACCCGGCCACATATATTATTATTATTATTATTATTATTATTATTATTATTATTACGAAAAATTCCTTTTAGCACAAATATTTAAAATATTTGTTTCCTATTATGATAAAGTTATATAAAATGATAAAAGAGTGTACATATGTATTTCTTCCAATGTGTCTTTACAGTTATAAATATTGCTTCCATTTCTGGTAAAGTTAAATGCTTCCCTTTTTCGTACAGAAATCGTCGGTGTCGCCTAAATCGGATGTAACGGTATTATGACGTCAGTTTCCGATTGATATTAATTATGCATAAGGCCAAACATAGATTAACATTATAATTATATTGTTAACTTTATAAACAAAATGGAAATTATATTGTTATATAAATTATACCGTGGAATATAATTAAAATTTAGAAAATTCCCTCTTCTTCGTGCGATTAATAATATTATTATACAACTGTGAATGAAACATAATATTAACCAAATATCATTTTAATCGTATTTTTAAACGTTATTTTAAAAAATGAATCTTCGAGTTGTGAAATTTCAATGGTATTATATTCCTTGTTAAATTTTCCTTAAATCAGAAAACGGATCTGATTAAATAGCTACGCTTATGCGAATTCATGCACCCGCGTACGCACTCACGCACGCACGCACGACCATCGCTTCTTGAATTCTTGCGAACGTTTGCGCATTCCCTGATAACTGTGAAGAACGATTTTATTTATTTACGCCGCGTCGCCGTTGACTGAATGAAATTCCCGTGGATTCGCGAGAAAGTTCCATTAAAGTTGCTGGAAGTCGTCGTATGCGCGTATGCACATACTGTGAAATCTTGGGAATAATTCTGTAAATCAAGTGCAATCTGCGTGAGAAGAAAAGTTTACGAGTTGATTACGTTTGATTTGTGAATAAAATGAACATTAAGTTCGCGATATTATCGAAACTGCTCGTGTCTCGTGTCTATGGTGGTTAATTTATAATGATGAAGCTTTAAAAAGAGCGATAAGAAGTTGAAATACTTATTTGATAATAAGTTTAATGAAATCGTGTTCCGCTTAATCGCTCCCCCGCCAATTGAAAGAGGTGAAAATGAGTGATTTGCGAGATTACAGTGAAATTTCCTGATATTATTATCGATGAAACGTATAATTATTTAAAATTTATGCTTGTATATGTGTGTGTATTTTGTTAAACGTAAAAATGTAATTTAATTTAAATTTTGTACGTATATTTCTGTAGTCGACATATATATATATAAAAATGGAAAGAAAGGAAGGAAAGAAGAAAGAAAAATATATGTCAAACGTCAAGCGTTGCTGCGAAATTTATGCTCGTTTCCTCTGTCGAATCAAACGTTAAAACGGTGCCCGTGTATTTACTCAAAACACAATTTAGATTTATCTTACGTCATTATACGGTCCGCGAGTTCATAAAGCACAAGATGGAAAAGCATCATAATAAGATCATTGCCAGCGAAAACTCTTTATTAGAATAACGAAGACTTTGATTGTTAATCTAACGAAAAAAGAAAAAAAGAGAAAAAGAATAAAATTACTACGTTAAATGAAATTCTTAGCGAGGGATGAAATGTAATTTGTCTGCCGTCTTTGTACAGGGTGAAGGGAGGATGAAGAATGCCCCGCGTCGGTGGAGACGGGGGTGGCGGAGCGGAGAAGGCAGGAGGAAGTGGATTCGGAGGATGGCTTGGGGGTGCAGCAAGAGCCATGACAGGAGGAAGTGTCGGAGGTGGATACGTGGTTCTAGGTGGTACCAGATACGGTCTCAGACTTTCTCAGGTAAAACGCTTTTCGTTTTCAATCCTTCTTCTAATAGTTTATCTATTTTTTTTTAAATTTTCTTCAAGATTCACTCGCGTTTCACAATTTTTTCATTCAAATCGTAATTCTTCTTTCATAATAAAGAAAATATATTAGAATATTGCGATGCATTTGAAAAAAAAAATTGCTGAAAATTCTTCGATTTAAGAAGAGGTAATCTCTTGGAGTCAAAATACGTAATTTGAATTTTAATTCTTTTATGTTTTTCAATGAGATTCGAGTTCTATATTAATGAATAAAACATTTTGTTTCGTATGTGATAAAATTAAACGATTACAACGTTACAACGAAAATTGATTTTTCGTAACATGTAGATTATCCGCAAAATTTCAAAGCTAATTAAGCATCAACTTGAGGAGCAGGAAGTTCTATCATATTTGATCCGTGATGAAAAGGTTAACTTAGCTATTTTGTTTGGAATAAGCTATGGAAAGAATTTGTTCGTAAATTGTTATTACTAGTATCGTAGATGTTTATTTATTTATAAATATGCTAAAATTTACAGAATATTTTAACATGTACAAAATATCCAAAGTCCGTATATAGATTCCAAAATTTTTACGCAAATTTTCCTGACAAATTTCCTTAAATTACAAATACACACAAAGATACATCGAACAATATTCGACGACAAAATAAATGAGGGTCGTTATAATTATAATAGAACGACTTGTGCAATTACTTTTCATACCTTTCCATCGAAGAATTCCATTGGAACGCATTCTCAACTCCAATTTTTAAAAAATGTATTTACATTTATCTAAAACTTCATCAATACCGGCGTTATTACGAATCCTCATTCCTCGCGTCGTTCAAGCACGGTCGAAAATGCGTGCTGTTCGATCTGCGTCATCGAGAGGGGCACGAAGGGGAGGATACGTAAAGTTTTTGAAATTTCACGCTGCCAGCGTGATTTTATATTGGTTAATGCGGAACCCGCGAGGAGACCGACGCAGCGTCCAGCCAAATAAGAATTCAAATTCCGTTGGCCGTCGGTGACGACCTTCGACGGATTCGCGACAGAGAAGAGACGTTGTTCGCGCGAGCAAAATGAAGACGTAGGAAATCCTAAATATAGAGGCGATCGCGCAAATAGAATGCCGCCAGTCAGTGACTCGGGTCCGAGCCATCCCCCTTTTTTCTTATTCCTTCTTTCTTCCTCTTCCTATTTCTCCGCGCTGACCGTCCTCGTCAGAACGGAATAATATTCCACGTTGACATCATACGAGCACACATAGCGGCTACATGAAAATCTCGACACGAGTCCACCAACCCACTGCCAAGTCCTTCGATCATCGATAGATCATCGAGAACCGATCTTAACTTTTTGTGAAATTTTTGCGTGTTCTTTGCAGCGAGTTTCGAGAATTCTTCTTTCATTCTTCTTTTTTTTTTCGAATAATTAATATTAGTAGTTATATAGGGAAAAGTACGGAGGATACTTTTTAAGGTATTAAACTTTTAAGTTTTAAGTTTTCTCGTTTGTCTGGTTTGTAAACTTTGACGATTTCTCTTTTTCTGTATAATTAGTTCTTGTATTACGAATTTTGAAGAATGTGGAATATGTGAATATTCTTTTTTAACAATTTGAAATATAGTAATATATGAAATCATAGATAATATTTTCGAATCTAAAGTATATCGTTGAAAATTCTGGTTACAACTATATAACTATAAAAGTGTAAAATATATTCCAATTTATAAATGTTTTAATATTTTTATATTTTAATAAAAAAATATTTATCAAATTGTAATTCATAACTTTTTTATAATTTTGCGATTTCTTGAAAGTTTTAGCAAAACAAAAAGATGAAATTAAAGTACTTATAGTTCAAAATTCCTTAAATATTACATACAGAGTTAAATTCATATTCACTTTTGAAACAATAATATCGAATTCAAAGCGACCTCTGACATATTCGAATAATCTTTCTCATTGATGTTACATTACGTGTACGTATATTTTGGTATAAATATCGGTATTATTGTATGTAATAAATTTCTCTTACGGAATTATTGCTTAACATGGATCCTTCGGTATGTAGTTCGTTATCTTTCTCTTTGTAACGTCTCAAGGTGGTATCGTGTTCTCAGTCGTGCAGCGTAAAATGTCAAAATAAAGATCGAAGCAGACATTTCGGGACGTATCTCGGTATCTCGGGAGGATTTCCAGAAAGGAGATTAGATGGGTTCTACTTTCCAGCATATAGCCTGTACATCGTGTTGCATACACGCAAGAGTCAGAGATCTATTTCAGAGGAGTTTATCTCCGGGCTCGTTCGTGGGAAGAACAACGTCACCTTGCCTCGACGCCATTGTCTACCTCTCTTATCCTCTTTACCGCAATCGTTCTTGCACGTGTATCAGTTGAACCGCGTGAAATGACGCGAATAATCATCACGAAGTGACTGTGACATTTCAGAGGGAAATATCTCGGTGCAAGAAGATTATTCTTCCAAGTCTCGTTCAGTAGTTGAATGTCAATTTTGCTGGAGGATGATAATTTAACCAGGGGAAAATAAACGAAGTTAGTTTGAAGGAAAATTAAGATAATTAAAATATAAATTGGACTTTCGTCTGTTGTTTTTCACTTTACAATCGTTGACTGAGATCGTTTAACGTAACGTTTCCAACTAGGTTAAAATGTGATCTATAGGGGAAAAAATTATTCAAATTAGGCGTGTTCCCTCGTACGTACGGGCAAAGTGAAATTACCTTGTACAAGCAGGTTCTACTTCCTACGTTTCGTTTTACAGGGTATCACAAGAAGCAGTCTTTCAGTCTCTTTATATATACGAAGCTACTTCATAGGCTTTACGGTCCCATTTGTTCCACTGCTTTCGTGCTGCATTAAACAAAGGAGTATAAGGAGTGCTCTAGTCTATATGCGCGAGAGGCCGCCATTTTTCATAGCGCGCTACAAATTAAAGATAAGATTTTCCTAAAGTCTTCTTTCCTTCGAATACCATCATAGATTATTTCTTTCTATTTATATATTGAAACGCAAGATTCAATATATATTTAAACTTCGAAATAAAACGTTTCGATCAATTTTATTTATTGTTTTTAATAGTACTTTAAAAGTACTTGAAGAATAAAATTTTGAATTATTCAATTGTGAACGAAATTTTATACACACTAATGGAACATATGCGTGGCTACTTTCTTGCTGATTATAAAATACACGTAACACGACAATGTAAAGATTCAGCAGTTTTATGGAGTCTATTTTCGAAGTTTACATATATTTGTTATAAAACTAACCTATGAATTGTCTTTTCATCTCGAAATTTAATCAATGTTCTTTCGAATTCTATTCAATCAAATTTGTTTCAATCAAACGTGAAATGTAATTCTTGTAAGTATCACTTTTTAAGAAGTGGTAAATCTTAACATATCTAAGAATAATTTAATCACTTCTATAAAAAGCAATGACGAAAGAAATTTTTCAACGAAAGAAATCGAAACGTTAATAATCGTTCCCTTCTAAGAAAGTCTGTCGTCATTAAACTCTTAGAGACACGATTGCAGTATCTGTACGTTTTACATTTGTTGGTATCAAAATTCCTTCAAATTCCAATTCTTTTTCAATCAGAATCAATTAAAATTCAAATTCACAGAACAAAAAACTCAGAAAAATATCCATGATCGTTCTGTTTCAGCAAAATTTAATCATTAAACTTTCAAAGATCCTACTGTCTTTTTAACATTCAAAGATTCCAAGAAAATCTTTCACAGTATCTACTTTTAATTTTACATTTGCAATACTCAACAAATACTAAAATAGCTACAATACAATTTCACACACTCGAAATCACTCATTTACAACAAAATTCAGAAAAAAAGAAAGAAGAAAAAAGAAACGATCGATCGATTTTTGAATTCCAGGAAAGTCTGCCGCCATCGAACTCGCGGGAAGAATCGCAGGAGAGGCGTCGAAAGAGGAGTTCCAGGGAGAGCGACTCTCGCGAGAAACTGACCGATCGGTGTCCAGAGAGCTCTGCGGGTCTCGAGCTGAGCACGAGCATCGCCGATTGCTGTTGCATCGGTCCACGTTCGCGTCTACCGTTGCCGAGGATCCCGCCGTCGACGACGATCGCCGCTTCGTCCTCGCCGTGCGTAACAGGCGGAGGTGGTGTAGGTGGAGCTGGAGGTGGCGGTGGAGGAGCTAGCTGTGGACAATCTCCTTTTCCTGGGCCTCCCACGTCTTCGAACAGCCGTGTTGCCGGCGTGGAACAGCCGGCGACGCTGACGACGCCAACGACGACGTCGGCGCAACCGACGTTGGTGAACTCTAATAATAACCGAGGGATGCTGCAAATGTCGGTGGGGAACAGCACTGGCCAACAGCACCATCAGGCACAATCGTCTGCGGCTCTAACGGCGGCGGTACCGTCGGTATCCACCTCCACGTCGTTCAACACGTCCACGACGCTGCAGTCCGTCTCGGTACCGCGACAGTTAGCACAGTGGACCAAGCATCAGACGCTGAAGCTGCAGGTATTTAGAATTTTTTTTATACATCTCGTTAAATTTGATGATTGAAGATCAATTATAAGCTTGGATTTCCTTTGCTCGTTTCTTTTTCTTTTCTTTTTTTTTTTTTTTTTTTATTCTTTTTGATTCGTGTTTCTATTGTATAATGGGTTTAAGGGTGAAGGGAGGAACTGTTGATCGGATTGGTAGATCTATCTGGTGGAATAGGAGGACGAGTGTGTTGAACGTGTGATGGAAGATTTTGTGGTTGGTTTTTGGAAGATATTTTTGGAGGATCCAAGGAACGCGGTTCGGAGGCTGTAGAAAAACTGTTGTGATTTCGTAAGAGTGAGCTGGTTCGTAGGAATTTGGGACGAAGTGTCTTCGACCTGGGAGGACGCTTTGTGTCAAAGCTCGAGAGGTGGGTTACAAGTGGTAGAGGTGTAGTATTTTTAATGGCTGGAGATGGGGAGAAGATCTCTCTCTCTCTTTCTCTCTCCCTCTCGCGAGGATTGATTATTATTTATCTCCTTCCATTTTTCTTTTATCTATATCCGTTCAACGTGTATCTCCTCTCTTCTGTCGGCCTGTAACTGTCAGGGAGTGAGAAGGATATATGGGATCGAGGGAAATTAATTCGACGATTCTCGGATACCACGGATAATCTTGGCTTAAGCCAGATTAATTTTCGAATGACAAGAACTTGGTCTTTGTTGAATCTGGTTCACCTGTTAACTCGGTTCAACCTGTTAATTTGTCTCCGGCCGAATTCCAACGAGGATAAGGAGGGAAAATTAGGATCGATCGTTGGAAAGTGACGGGGCCTAGAGAATCGGAAACTCGTATGTGCGATACGTAGGTGTCTAGTCGAAGAACGATATTCTATTTTGGTCGTCATCTGTCTTTTCCCTCGCACGAGGCAACGCACGCTGCGCAGAGCACGGCCGATCCAAAAATTGGAACGTCGCGAGTGCACGATCTTTAAAAACCTCGTGAGAATGATCAGAATCTGAAAGATTCGAGAAATTATATTCGAAATTAATTGATTATAAAAATAATTTTGAATACGATCTTTCGAATATTAGAGAGGAAGCAGTAGGTTTCGTAAATTTAATATTGTAATATTGTAATTATGACACGATGGTGGTTTATCTATGCAGGAACCAGCAGTGATAGCAGTGGACCGATTGCACAGGTTCCGATGGAGCGGGGGCGGAGGAGGAAGTAGTAAAAAGTCCTCTTCCGGCCCCCGGAGCGAAAAGGCCGAGCGCCTTCGAGAGCTCACCGAGAAACTCAAGGGACCAGCCCCCGTACCACCACCCAGAAGACCTTCGCGGACTCAAGCATCCTCTCCACCTCCGAGTGGATACCAATCACCCTCTCAAAATTGTCCTCAGGTAAAGATTTCCTTCCCCCCCCCTTTTTTTCTTATTTATTTATATTATAGCGAGCATATACAAAAATTTGTTTCCCAATTGCAAAGATTTCTATAAATCGTCGGCGGATTTTTCTTAAAAATCTCGAGAAGCGAAATCCTCGATTTGATATTTCTAATTTTACTCCGGAAACATGATAATTGAAGAAAAACTTTACTAGCTGATATGTGCCAAATGGCAGTCGTAAACTCGTGCGCACAAACTTTGCAGATATAAATCGCATTTTTCCCCTGAAATATTACATCAATCTCGCGCTCTTTCTTCATGGAAAATGAGCAAAGACTTCATCGCAAGATTTACAAATAAGATGATTTTAAAATTATTGAATACTGCATTCAATATTGTCCTCGTTTATTCCTTGTAAAACTTGATTCTAAAAGATCAATATTGGAATATCAACTGCGAAAAGAGTTACAAAAATGAGTTATATTAATTTGCATGAAATTCAAAGAGAACATTCATTTGTGTAATTTGAAAATAAATATAATTTTTCAACTAGACAACGAATCAAGGATGCGGTCGCTGCGACGGTCGACCTTCCTGTCGAAGTTACACGTACAGCGAGGGAACCGGGCATGGTTCAGGGAACCAGCAACACCCTCAGCAATATCCACTGCAACACAACCAGCCGAAGACGTTCAACCGGAGTGACAGTGTCGGTGACGAGTGTTTCAGTGAGTCGAGTAACGATGCATACAGGAAGACGTGCACCGACTCGAGGAGATCGCGGTCGCTCAGGCAATATGATAGGAACAGTGGTGACGTAAGTGACATAAAAAACGAGCTGAACGCCAGTGCAGACACGGCGAAACACCTGAGACAGTACAGTGATTCGGTGGTGGATAGTGGTACGTGTGTGGACGATTTGTGTGATAATCTGAACACCGCCTCCGGCCAAGGGAACGAGGGTGAAGCCAGGGATGCGATCACCAGATTGGAGCCCAGAGGACCTCTGCTTACGTTTCATAGAGCCGGTGCACCGTTCAGGAGTGCCTCCTTTGGCCAGGTGGACTTCAATCAAGGTAGTTGCTTTTGAATAATAATTTTTATTATATATTTTAACCGATTTTTCAATAGTTTTTATCTGTTTTCTTTTGCTTTTTCTTTTTAATAAATTTTTTATTATCAAGAAGATTGAAACAATGAAAACGAATCCATTGGGGGATAAACAATTCGTGTAATCGAAAATTATACAGTTACTACGATTTCACGTCGAGATAAGTGAATTCTATTGGACGGTTAATGGGATGCTAATTAAAATTTTCAATGAATGGAGCTCTGCTGTAAAATATTTCTGATATCCGATATTGATAATAAATTACAATTCTTGGTAATGTGAATGAATTTTATCAAGGATTTATATCAAGATAGAAATGTTGAATATAAAAGTAGGCAAGAGACCAATTAATGAATTTGAATGATCAATTAAATATCTCTGATCCTTGCAGATTATTATTAATATCTTTTATAAAATACAAAAATATATTTTGAATATTGTCATTAAACATTATCATCAAGTTTTATTTTCGTAACTTATATTAATCTAAATTATTTACTAAAAAAAAACTTCCGAAAAATTCACAAACTCGTTCAATTTCGCATTATTATTCCTCAAATTTACCAAAGAAATCGCTAGCTTCTAATTATGATAGGCTCGTAGATTTTGTTCGCAGTTATCACACATTATCCTTAGCTCTAAATGAGCGTAAACGAAACGGTAGAATCTATGCATTACGAGAGGTATTTGAATGGGCGTAGCAGTGGGAGAGCAGAAGCGACCGTAAGAACAGTTACTCCAAAGCATTCATTGTACTTTGTTTCCGTGTTTATCTTTTCGGGTCTTCACCTGCTCGGAACTGGTTCTACTAGTCACTCCCCATAAAAGGTTCTGCTTTACTTCTTTGCCGGAGCATTATTGCTTCGTAGATTCGAAGAAATTTTCTTCGATTCAATGAATATTGGAACTTATTTGCAAGCATTAATTTTCTGGATTCACAATGGATATAAAGCAATGTGTATAAAGCTTTTTCAAAATCTTAGCTAGGAATTCTTAAACGTTGGCCAATATTTTTCTTGAATTTTTCTATTTATTCTTTATCTTATAACGACAGTGCATAAATAAAGATATTATACAAATTTTGAAAGCTATTTATTATTATTTAAATTTTATTGTATTCGATTTTTATAATTCAAATTATAAATTGTAATTTTCCTGATTAATTTAGTGGTTAATTTAGCGTTTACTTAGTGCAAAGAAAAACGAATTATGAGAATAGCAAGAAATAAGATCTTCAACATCCTCATTATTCATCATTCTTCATAAGTAATACGTATTTTCTCCAAGAAAATGTTAAACGTACCGATCTTTAAATTTCAACTTCTACCGACGAAACGAGTGTAAAATTGGAAAAAGAGGAAAAGAAGTGGAAAAAAAAAAAGGCAAAGTAAGAGACGTAGAAGACTCGAGCATCGAGTTACATAACGGGACACGATAATGTTGCCTTTGGTATCGTTTCGTTTTCATTTCGAGATGCGATAAATAATCGCTCGGGTGTCGAGCGAACGCGGAAATTTGGAAGAGAAAACATTGTCAATTAATTATATGATTTGTATACGGTTAGTTGTGTACTTGTAAATATTGGCTAGCCCAGTCGGGGTGGCGAGAATGCAAATTCCGGCTATATGGCGTTTCGCCAAATAAACACTACTCATTATGTCTATTATTACATGTAGATGTCGGTACAACATCTGTGGATAGGAACAATCTAAATCCGTAAAAAGCAGCGAATTCCTCGAAACTCTTCTGCTTCACAATAGACTTACGAAAGTTATCTCATTTGCTATATTTTTAATGAATTTCAGCTAATGAATTATATTATATTTTTATTATAAAATATAAGAATCATTTCATTAATCTTTTGCAGATAAATATCGTTATTACAGCAATATTAAGGATAATAATACAATTTTCACAATACTATAATATTTTTTCTTATTTCTAATATTTAGTTAGTCTTTAATTTAAAATTTCATATAAAAAATATTCTCTATTTGCCAAGAATCAGAGAATACTAAGTCCGCAAAGAATTAATTTTTATATGTCTGCACAATAATCGAATTAATTAGTAACTTAGAATAAATATTCGAAACTATACTTTGATCATAGTAGTTTTATTAAATACTAGCTTTTCTCAACTTTTCATGAACAAAGTTCTATATCATTGAGAAATGCACGAATTTTCTCTCTCTTCTTTTCTCGAACATCCTATTTCCTGCATCTTGCTTTCTAAGTTTCACATGTGTTAAAGAGACGTCCTAAATTCGCTTCTCCTCTCCTGATCACATTTTACCTACACGAATTCCAGTCCAATAATTTTCGAGGATATCGAACGCTTTTCCTCGGTGAAATTTCCTCACTGGGTCGATCGAGACCCATCTACTTCTCCGCGGATCTCTCCTCGTTTGGCGAAGTATGAAGCTTGTTTATGCTTGCAATGGTATGTTGGCTTTACCTTCTCGAGAAAGAAGAAGAAGAGGAAGAAAAAAATGAGAGAAGAAAAGGACGTTTATACAATACACAGTTTACACTCCATGCCGAAAATAGCGAACGGTTCTCTAAAGATCTGGATTTTTCTCTCTGGACACGCGTAACATTGACTTTCGTCTACGAAAATATAATAATTACGGCCCTGAACCATATACCAGGAGGAGGCAGATTCGATTTCACGATAACTAGAAATAAGAGAGATATTAGAGATCGTGAACGGCCTTTAAAGATAATGCTTTTTGTATCCCTGGCCTGAATAAACGCATTGTTTGCTCGGCTAATTATTTAAATTCTGTCGCGTTGCTGGCTTTTATCGAGAGGTATCGATAGCAAAGCTTCTTTCTTCTTTTGTGATCATGTTAATTCTGGTAGAAATGTTTGTGCTCGTTGTTGTGGAATCGTTGTGGATTGTGAAAGAATTGTTTTTACATTAAATAGAAATTTAAACGAATGTTAGCATAATAGAAATTTCTGTGGGATTTAATCTCTCTCTAAGAGTTCCTCTTCGAATTAATAACAGATAACGATAGACACGGGATATATATTAAATTATCATTGCACACGAATCGAATATATGCTTTGAAGGAGTTCAAAAGTTTCTTGTTTGAAGAGAAATATTTATGCAAAAAGCAGTCGTTAAATCTTGTTCGAAAAGTACTCTTAGAATACACTTAGAAAATGAATCTGTTACATAATTCACGAATGACATTATAGTAACTGAAGACAATATTCGAATAATCTATTTCTCTCTCTCTCTTTCTCTTTTTTCCTGAAGCAATAAAAATATCATTGGCAATTTCCACGAGAAGCAAAAAAGACAAAAGAGAGAGAGAGAGAGAGAGAGAAAGAGAGCGAAAAACTAAAATGAGCAAGAATGCAACCGATTTCTCGATGTGTAACAAGAGCAAAGGCGTGAAACGTGACGTGAACCGCGTGCGTGGCGCAAGCCGGAAACCCCTTCGTCAATAAATCTTTCGCGGGACACCTTTTACGTTCGAAAGACGGTTTACGAGAACATGTAACTTGGTATCTTCAGAAATACAGCTCTAGTCCACGGATCCACGAGGCCATTAACGCTGGAAAAACATTTGATTACCGGGGGTGAGAGGGAAAAAGTGCTCGAGAGAAAGTTAAGCGGGTAGATAATAGATTTTCTAGTCGATGAAGGAAAAAAATCCAGGGACGATAATAATTACGACCGCAAAGTTGACAATCGCTTTGCTTACGGCTGATGATTGAAAACGACACATGAGTATGATTGGGGAGAAGTTGGAAAGAAAAATTAATCGCGGAGAAAAGTAGTTTTTCTCTTATGGAAATTGTGAATTGAGAAAGAATATTCCGTGTTGAGGTGTTGTGAAAATTTTCTGTTTGAAAAAAATATGAGAAAAGAGATAATAAAGAAATGGGGTGGAAAATATGAGAAAGAGGTGAATATGATGGTAAAATTATAAAAATATTTTAAATGTTTCTATTGTAAGAATGAATAATTAAATTGTGTAATATTCTTCTCCTTTCACGATATTAATTAAAGTGAAAATAGCATGAATGGATTATATTCTTTAGCGTGCAGTATTATCGTGTGCCCGTAATTGCGTGCTTATGCATTCACGAGTTCCATTATTTTTCTTGTCCCCGTATTTATGCTCGTGAGAAGTATTCCCATCAGGAAGATAGCGAAAATTAACGGATGTGTGTTTTACAGTAAACGAAGGATTTACATAGTAGTCAATTTGACGTTTAATTATTGCGACGATAATTACGAGACGGTCCAGGTAACATGGAATTCATTATTATCATATACTCGATGATTTACAACATCTGTTGTAATTATCGATAGGTTATACATTCGATCAACGAGTTCCTTATTGCCTTTAAATTGAAGAAAGATTATTTTCAGATAAAAATGTTATTTTATGTCTATAGGAGTACTAAATTTTGTTCTCAAAGCTATTAAAATTTACATGGAAGAATAGTTTCTTGTTAAGCAAATTAAACTTTGTATACAAAATCTAGGAAATTGTGATTATTTAAAAAATTTTCTACACCATGTGCTGCACGTTTATTACATTTATAAGATATAGATTACGATACGTGGAAAATTTGTGCCAAATTAGATACACGAATTTGTTACGATTCCTTGGACGATGAATTTGCGGCATCCAGCTAAATTATTGCTTGCGATCTATCATGATTTTTCATGAATTTACAGTACAAGTTTTTCTAAATAAAGTTAACGAAGCTATTAATATTAACAGTATTATAAGAAAAAAAAATTTGACGTACACCAATCAAATAATAATTAAATTCTAGCATAAATTCATTTTAAATTTAATCAAATGAATCGCAATCTCGAAAATTATTATTAACTTAACGCCGTTCACGATTTTCCTTAATTAAAATAATTGAAACAAATACTCTGGTTCTCGAATCTCAATATCGATAATATACAATTGAAAGAAAGGAATAATAAAAGTTTCGAAAACGACAGAATTCGGCCAAGACGACGTGCTGTCGTTTCAAAGCGTCACCGAGATCTTCGTTCTCGTTCTCACTCTGTTTGTTATTATTGGAATGGTCCACCTTCTCGCGTTGAGACGTCTGCCAAAATTACCTGACACACGAGCAGGTAATTAAAACTTGCTCATTCTTTCTCTCGCGCTCTTCCTCACCTCTCAACAGTCGCTGGTTTTTCAGAAAAATTCGTTTCGAGATTATAAATCTACAATTTCTCATTTTCTTTTCGCGTGATACGTGATGACAGTTCGATTAAAAACCAATGATTCATAGTTAGGAGAAATGTTCGGGATTGATTCGGGCGGATGTTTACTTTCAATTTTCTGCTCCTCTCTTTGCCTTTTTTTTTTTTCTTTTAAATCTACGCACAGTTTCGATTTTCTACTCCTCTCTTTGCCTTTTCTTTCTTTTTTTTTTTTTTTAAATCTACGCACAGTTTCGACGTTGGAAAACAGTAATTGATAAGTTGGAGGGATTGAACGAAAGATAAGAAAGGTATGTTCGTGCGTTAGGACTTGGGAAATCGTTAAGACTTATAATTATATTTTTGATAAGATTTTAAGATGTAAGATAGTTGTGTTACGAGCAAGATATAGTAACTTGATTTCCTTTAATACGTTTTATTATGCTATACGATTAAAAGGATATTAGATACAGTTAGAACCGAGTAGTATCTCTTAAAGGAATTAGCAACGGTTATTTTTCCCTGCTAATGCATCGCGAATCCGTGTACAACTTAATTACTCTGGTGTGTGATAGGTGGCTAGTCATCTCTTCTTCTACGATGAATCACCAAGTTTTCTCAACCGTTCAACCTTCGCTAGTGGTAGTAATTTCAAAGATGCTATCGAGATTCGTTGAATTAGTTTAAACTACCGGTTCAATTAATTATTCAACCGTACTCCATATATGTTTATACTCTCCCCCGTCAAAATTGTTCACAAAAGGGAAAACAAGTAAGCATATTTCTCGTTCGATAACCTCAATAACGGATAATAATGAGTCGAAATCTTGTGTTCCAGTTAGTCGACAGAAGGCACAGCCAATAGCCACGTCGAATCGGGCCGACAGCAAGGATGTTCGTGCGAGCACGTTGCCGCGAAGACGAGGAGACGTCAGCCCGGTGGTCTCGACACCACAGAACAGTCCCAATCGTCAAAGTCCAAGAACCTCGACGCCCAGCGTGGACAGTGCTGTCGGTTCGGCGGAAGGGTTGGGCGTACCTCAAACCGGAAACGTCGAGGAAATCCGACCGAGGAGCGATGGTTCCGACAGCCTGGCCACTTCCAGCGCTCTCACCAGCCCGGAACCGCCTGTTCCGGAGATCAACGAGCCGAGAGTCGATGATCTGGTGCAGGCTGACGTACCTCCTATCGAGATCGTCACGTCTGAACCCGTTTTTCCGCTCGTTGAAAACGCGCCTATCGAGGAAACCGCGCAGAAAGGTAGGTCGATCGATGGAAGAAATTAGACAAGTAGTGTTCTTTCTTATTTTTCATTCGGTATGCCAAGGTTTGTACACAATAATGTGCTTGAAATATCGCTCGGAAAACTCTTTTCCAATTGTTAGCGACAGTTATCTTTCCTTTGTTTAATGGACGTTTTATGTTGCGATCGTAATAGAAAGTTTCTGTTGCGCGCTTATTAAAGTGAAACTTACTTTGGTTTATTCTGTGATTTCTGAAAGGAAGAGAAAAGATAAGATATATAATCCAGAAAAAGTAATAAATGATGATTGTTTTGTTACATTTATCTATTATGTTTGCACATTAATAAAATCTATTGATATTTTAACACGGTTCCATAACATTATTTATCTTTACAAACTTACTTTTCGTACGATATTTTCTTCTATTCTCACGATGTATCTATTCAAAGTCGAGCCACGAGCAGAGATAATCCTAATGCCGAAGCGACTCTCCCTTTAATATAACAACAATTTGTTATTTGATTTCGTCATTGGAAATTGGCAACATAATATTACTAAAGTTGACATGCCCGCTGCTTGTAATTTAAATTTAATGACTTCATCCCGTGCCAGAATCGCGCCTTCACCCTCGATCATTCTCTTTCTCTCGTTCGTTCATTTCGCGTTGCTTATCAGCCTCGCGCATCTTAATAGAGGACGTTTCGTCACGCGAAAGATTCAACGACCCGCGGCCACACTCTCTTAATTATCGGATATCCGTTGACACGTTTATCGAGGCATCGAGTGGCAAGAATTAGGAATCGGTCGTTGAAAGTCGGCCCGGCTCCGTTGATGTATTGGAGCATCGAATCGAACCGGATGAGCCGGGCCAAATATTTTCGCTTGTCCCACAGTGGTGGCAGGGAAGGGTAGGGAAAGAAGGACTATTTTTGGTTGCATCGACAGGAGTACGGGTACAAAGGTGCACCCAAGTTTCCACTTTATTTCGCGTGGCCTCTATTTTCGGAACGGTGGGTGCCAGGGTCGAAATAGAAATTTCAACGTCATCGGGCTCCAACCCATCTTCATTGATGACTTCACGCGCCCGTTCACGTTCGGTGTCTGGATTGGTTCTCTAATTGTGGTGAATACCACGGTTGTTGATGATTGACCTAGGTTACGATTCAACAGATTTTATTATATTCACTTGTTTTTTGATTTCTTCTTTAAAGAAGAGAGGAAAAGAAAAATGAAGATTGGAAGGGGCGAGGGGAAGCGGGACGTTACTTTTGTTTTATCCGCGATATTTCTTTCTGTTTGTTGGATAAGTAGGCTTCTGTTAGCTCTGAGTCATTAAAACAGCCGGCTAATGGTTATTTTCCTACCTCCGGCTAGCGGTTGTTTCCTAACTACGTTATTTATCAGCTTGCCCACTTTATGCACCGATGCTTAAATTCGTGTAAAACTCGGCTTCTTTTTCGATTAATATTTCTTCGAAGTGGTATAGCTATGTTATAAAAAAAACCTGGAAACTAATATTTCTTCGCAATTTTATCAAAAAGTGGGTCAAAATTCATTATTTCCAAAAAATTATCATATTCACGAAGAATCTTTACTTACAAAGAAAAAAAAACGAAATTCTAAATACTATTCAAATTTATTATTTAAAAACTGATAAAAAAATTCCATTCGTCCAAATATATATAATAATAATTTCGCCACAACTTCACGAATTGAAACAAAAATGATTTTTACCCGCAGACAACAGGCTGGAGCCTCACGAGGTGATAATAACGCCCCCACCCGAGGAGCCACGGCTGAGTCAAGCAAGCGAGGGTAGCGAGGCGGCGAGCGAGGCACCCTCCGAGACGTCGTCGCCGTCGGGCAAAACGAGAAGGTATCGAGGGGACACCAGCAAAAGGAGAAAGGGCGTGTACATAACCCAATGGCCGGAGTCCTTGGACACCGACAGGAACAAGCTGTCAGCTCAGAGCAGCGAGGAAAGAGACGAGCCACCTGCGACGCCCAGCGACCTCTCTGATTGCGAAGGCCACACACCTAGAAGGTAACTCGAGAACGAGCGCTGATATATTGGAATAGAATGCAAATAACGACGACTTACGGAACGCAATTCAAACGAAGAAAACCGCGAAACACTTCGCTTAAAACTATCCTCTCTTTCGCCTGATATCCTGTTCGTGTTTTCGATTAGAACTAGAATGAATTTTATCGAGAATGAAGAGGAATTTTTGATAATTTAACGAGGATAATTATGAGAATGAATTTCCTCTTTAGATTCTTTAAAAAAGAATTTTGAGAATATACTACATCGCTATTACGTTATATTTTTTGATCATCCTAATCTTTCAAAAATTCAGAATTACTTACGAATTCTTAAAAGTTTAGAGATCATCTATCAAACATGTCTAAAACCTACCTCATTTATTATTTCTCTTAATTCAACTTCAGAACGAGTTCCTCGGCAATACAATCGTTGAAACGGAGATGAAACGCTCGGCGAGATAAAAACTTCAAAGTGATTTTCATTCGTGCAGGTATAGCAAGAGGCCTCTCCGCGGCCCTTACGGGCAAATGCTCGAGGCAGAAATGGCGAAGCCGCGAACCGCCGACATCTCTCTCGAGGAAGGTCTTCGTCCACGCAGAAAAGTATCCGCGAATCTCTCGTACAACACGAGCTCGAATAACAGTGGTTCAGAGCCGCCCACGCCCTGCCATCACAGAACCACTTCCAGCCCGAGCAAACTGGAAGGTCTTCCGGGACCAAGTCCCGAACTCCTCGCGGAACTGCTTCGAGGATCCTCCGAGAGGGTGGCTCGTGCACCCGCGCATCGAAACGTGAGTACTTCTAAATTTAATATTCATTGCCTCGAGGCACGAGATTTGTTGTGATAGAAGAAGAGATATCAATGGAACGGGAAACAATGTGATAAAGTAAACGAAAATGAGAATGATTTAACGCTGATTGAAGTCGAATTCCGAACCATTAATCGAAATGAAGGATAAATAAGCATTTCTTGGGGCTCGTGGAATCTTTATTATCCGAGGCTTTTGTTATTGGAAATGTTATTATTTCGAACGAGATATTTTCTGAACGTTCTTATTTTATTAATGGTTTCTTCCTTATATTCAATTGCATTCTATCTTGAAAAGTTCAACGAATAATCATGGATGGATGATATTAGTTGAAAGATCGTGTATGTGATAAAATTGTTACGTAGAATAATTAATACAGTACAGATATATTTAACAATCGATAATTTAAGAAATAAAGTATCTAAAAGGATACATTTTTTTTTCATATTGATGAAACATCTATAATTGTTCTCTGCCCTTTGCATTCCGCAAATACTCGAAATGTTTCACAGAAGTACATTCTCAACGAATTAACAAGCTTGAAAAGAGAGACTCGCTAATTTGCCCCTTTCATCTCTTCTTTTGCTCGGCTTGAAAAATACCTAAGTTACACGAATGATAATTACGCTTCGTGTAAAAGCGTATCCGCGCGCGATACGGCGATGTAATGAAGAGCTAATCGGCGGATCGATTAACGAGCGGACACCAGTAAAAACAAAAGGGGCAGAGAGGGAAGGCAATGGTCTTCGAGAGAGTCAAGAGCACCGCGATTGATCTTATCGCGGCGTCGTATCTCTGCCAGCCTCTTCGCCGATCTTCCTCGCCGCACTCAAACATCTGGCGACGAATTTTCAATCGAGGGATGTCTCTCGCGTCTCTTCAACCCACTTCCATTTGGTTCACGCGACGAATCGTGTAACAGAAATACCGATGTTCTGATTTTTGAACTTTCGATCTTTGGAAAATGATGGGTGACCGTTCAACATCAAAATATTATTCAACATCGAATTAAGCTTACCTCGCGATAATAACAAAAGGAAATAACGAAAGGAAAATTTTCCAGGGAACAAAACTATTATGAACTAAACCATTATCCAATATCAAAATATCTACATTTCAAGCTTCTTAAACTACAATTGTCTTTCATCCTCTAAAAAGAGCGCCACACACTATTTCACAAGCGAAAAGGCAAACCTTTCCAGAGAACAAAGCTAACATAAACATTAAACATTATTCAACATCGAGCTAAATCTGCAAAGACCATTATCCAAGAAGCAAAAAGGCGAGCTTTAAAAACCGAGTAATTCGAAACAGATTTTCCAGTCGTGGTACGTCGAAACGTGTAATCTAATAATAATGTTCGGTCATATTTCTGGGATGAGTTGTTGGTGGTTTGGCCAGTGCACTCGAGGTTAGCGTAGTGTCCCCTACGATTCTGGCAGGGTGGGGGCGTGCACGAGAGGATATTCCTGGCCTTAGGTGTACCTGGGCCTCTGAACGCGTGCACACTGTGGACAGAATCCGTCTCATTTTTACGCAACCCGACCTTGTTCGATACACATCGACGTGTTCGACGATATGCGTGTCGTGCGAGCGGCCGAGTTCGCCCCCACTTCTTTGAAACTGTCGCTTTTAGGGTCTCACGAGGCGATGGGGATGCTAGATCGATGCTCTTTCGTTAATTAAACTTGGTTCATTACACGCAAGTGTTTCCTTTCGAACGGTTTTTGACGATGGTAATTTTGTGGGTAGATATTGGTGTTGCGTATCGTTAACATAATTTCCATGGGTAAATTGAATTTGAGGTTGACGGGTGGTTGAAGAGTGGAGGTGGATCATTCGAAATGAATGAATTCTGTAATTTACACACATGGAATTTTATTAATTTCTTGTAATAGTAATAAATCTCTGGTTGTAATTTATCGATGATTGAAACGTTATTTCATGCTTGTACGAGTTTAATAGTTGGATCGTTGGAATATAATAAGTATGTGAAATTGATTATTTACGTGGAATTTTAATTTTGCGCAAATAATTTTCTCCGTTTTTAAAAGTAGTAGTAGTGTTCCGTATTCGATAAGAGAAGCTCAAAATCCTCGAAAGCATCGCCCTTTCAACCGCGGCATCTTTTTTTAACTAATCCAAGTTTATTGTGTCTAGCGTTGAATACACAATTGAATCGAATCCAATAGTATCTAACTTCGTATCGCAATCACGACTATCTTTAGTTGAAATATATTTCGTTTTGAACCTTTGCCGTGAAAGTCGGCTTTCTAAGGTTTCCATAATTTTCCTCGTAATCGATTGCTAACTTTTAACGAGCAGACTTTCACGTACGTACAATGAAAGGGGAAATGGATTGATTAGCGGCTATACGTTGCCGGTTAATAAACCGTCTAATCTCTTTTCTGCCGATCGTTTTGCCACCGTTTCGTTACCACAATCATAAGAAAGGTTACCCAACAGCGAGTCCAACAACTTGGAGAATTAGAGCGCAGATACTCGTTCGAAATACGGATAAAAATAAATTACCTTTGGAAGAGCGTCACGCATTTTTACCTTGGCTAGCTCGACGATGATGTATCTACGCGCGAAACGGAAATTAGTCATGCTTGCAGCAGAAAACGCTGGTCTTTCTGTTTTCTGGAAAAAGAAAAAAAAAGAGAAGAAAAGAAAAAAACAGGACCATTCGTGATGCGTAATAGAGAAGAACGTTTCATCGAGATATTGACTCGCGCGAAAATTTCGAGAAATCGAAAGAAATTAAAGTGAGGAGAAATCTGAAGATATCTTCGCGATATTATGTTCGATAAGTTTACGACTCTGAATATTATTTGCATTTATTATTGCGAGTATCATAATCGTGTCAAAACGTAATATATTTTAACGTTCGAGACGAGTGAAGATTTTTTTTAAATTGAGAGGGAGAGAAAAGAGGTGGAATTGGTTGACATTCGTGTGAAAATAAAGCTCGTTGTTTTGTGCGCGAAAGCACAGAATTTCTAGCGGAAAGGATTGCTAAGAAAACATATAAAGCAATCTCGGTTGAAAATAGCGGGGCCACGGGATAAACAGGGATATTTTCAGACTGGATTCTTTGTCTATCTTCTGATGTCATCGATTTTAGGTAGGATATTACGTAGATTTCTAGGATTTCATGAATGAATCCCGAAACTTACAATGCCAGATCGTTTGTGACGTCCGAGTGACGTCGGTGGCCACGTAGCTTCTTGAATAATTTATAGCCATCGTCGGTCTTTATCACCTCACGAACTTGTTGAAAATCTATTTTTCTCTTTCTTTCGTCTTTTAATATTTCGCGTGTTGAAATATGTTTAACATGTGTCATAGTATTAAAATTAGTTATATCCCTAAGATATATCTAAAGGTAACGTGACAAGATTCTTCGACTTTTCTTAAGAATAATTCAATCGTAGCATTTTTAATTCGTAATGAAGTTCATAAATTTGTTACCAAAATTATATTATACTTTACAAATTTATACGATTTACAAGTTTCATTTAAAAAAATGTGGCGTATCGTTAATCGTGATATCTTCTAGATCTGCATCACGATAAATCTTATATCAATCTCGTTGACGCAAAGTTTAAATAATTCAGTTATAGGGAACAAGTTTTGTAATGAATTTTGTAATGATCATCGTTTTCGACGCGTAATCGATTTTAATGGATGAAAATTTTAACGCGCGAAAGTTCAGATTATTCAAAAACAATACGTGAGCAAAGTGAATGAAAAGCAGAACTGCATCGAGGGCGATCGACAAACTCGAATAAAATGCCCGAAAATCTCGAGGCCTGAGACGCTGCAGACTAAACAAGCGTCCTCGAAATAAATATAGGGCATGAGGCGATAAAAAACAAAATATAAAATAATTTCTTACACTGTCTCGCAATAACCGAGCACTGGCCAATCGATATTTTTGTATATTTTCTCCAACGAGATTAATACCTCGTTTATATTGTCTTCGAACACGAATACGTAAGAATTACGTGGAGATGTTCCTTCTTCGAATTACATCACAATGAAATATTCGAAATATTCAGTTAATAATTTAGTAAAGGAAAATATTTGAGATATTCACTTCGATACACAATATTTATTACTACAGCAAAGTAAATCATTGTGTTGAGTGATTTATTTTTTGACGAAGTGTATTTTATCCCGTGGAAATATTGTTATTCTAATATTAGCTTACGACGTTTCGAGTTCTACTTTCAGTTTGATTAATTCACTGGAAGGAAAGTTCGAAAATTGTTAATTTATATAAAGTATGGATAATTTTAAATGCGCATAATAATTTTATATTCTTGTTGAAATTGTTGAAATTTACTAAGGATTCGAGTTTTTGCAGTCAAAGCTTCATTCTTGTATAATGATGAATACGCGGATGTATATGATTATTAAAGTAAGATTTTAATTAAAATTCGCTTTCTTTATAATATAATATATTTAAATTTATTTCAACAAAGGATAAAAATCTTTTAAGAAAATGTGTAATTCTCTTCTGCTAATCGAATGAAGCATCAACTTAATTTCAATTCTTATTTATTTTCGTTAAGATACGTGAGTTTTATACCAAATTATTCAATCTATTATTCTAAATCCTGTTAAAAGATATCAAGGAGATGCATTAGTGATAAGTATCCTTGTCGAGAGAAATGAATTATTACTAGATATCCTACAGAGATAAGCAACCACGTGTTAATTCAGTTTGGCGCAGATGCGAACTTCCGGAGTCACTAAATAGACTTCAACTCACGTGCGAATAAATTTCCGCATAATGGTAAATAACATCAAATCGAGCATTCTACCACGATGAATATCTATTTATTTTTCGTGAAAATAACGTAGATTTATAATTAAAGATGGTCTTTATATTTTTCGACAATTATTTATTACGAATTTGATTCGTTTCCACAATACATTTTTTTTTAATTAATGTATAATCGATTATACAATCT